ATACAATGGAACCACTGTACTCCACCTCCACTCATCCGACATCCTCTTCGCCTTAAAAATAACATTAAACAACCCAGTCAACCACTCCAAACTTGCTCTCCCCCCACACTTCCAGAATTCCACCGGAATCTCGTCTGGCCCGGTCGCTCTGCCCCTGCTCATCTTACGCATAGCTTCCACGACCTCCTCAACCTTGATACGCCTGCAATACCCAAAGTTACAGTGACTCTCAGAATGCTCCAATTCGCCTAGCACAATATCCTGATCCCCTTCTTCATTCAGAAGTTTATGAAAGTAAGTTTTCCATCTCCTCTTAATCTGGACATCTTCCATCAATACTCTACCATCTTCGTCCTTGATGCATCTCACTTGGTCCAAATCCCGAGCCTTCTTCTCTTTCAACTTGGACAGCCGGAATAACTTCTTCTCCCCGCCTTTTTCCCCCAGTTCCTCGTACATACGACCATAAGCCGCAGTCTTAGCCTCCGTGACTACCAGTTTAGCTTCCTTCCTAGTTACCTTGTACCTCTCCATGCACGCTCGCCTCTCCTCCTCACCTATGCTCCCCACTAACTTCAGGTACGCCGCCTTCTTCGCTTCCACTTTACCTTGGACCACTTCATTCCACCACCAGTCTCCTTTGTGCCCACCAGAGACACCCGTCGAGACCCCTAATACCTCTCTCGCAGCCTCCCTTATACAGTCTGCTGTCGTTGACCACATAGTGTTCGCGTCCCCACTGCTCCTCCAAGCTCCCATAACCGACAACCGCCACTCCAACTCTTGGGCTTTATCCTTAGTTAAGGCTCCCCACCTAATTCTCGGTCTTCCTCGAGTAGACCTTTTCCTCCTCTTTAACCTAAAGCCAACGTCCATCACCAAGAGTCTATGCTGCGCCGCGAGTATCTCACCCAGAATCACCTTGCGCCACCGCATTCTGAAAAGTAACCAAATGCTCCTCCCTCTTCGGAAGCTAGAGTTCGCAATCACCAACCCAAAAGCCTTAGCGAAGTCCAACATGGGGCATTATAATGTAGAATCATGGTGTAATAATACATTGTTATTTTACTAGTAGTAGTGTTCATGTTTGTATTGTAATCCTTTTCCATTTTACGATGGCATTTCAGATTATCAAAAGTTATATGAAAGTATTTGACTTGATACAGTGTTATATATCTATATTTATGACTTTATGCTACTGATAGTAGTACATATTTTAAATAATATTTGAAAAGTTACTTTGATGGAGAAAACATTCCATCAAAGCTTATACTTTTTATAGTTTAATGAATTTGAAATATTAAAAGTTAACAGCTCGAGAATGTCGTACAAATTGGTACAGAGAGAGTATTAATTAGTACTTCTGACGAAAACTTTGTTATATGGTGTATATTTTTTATTCCACAAGGAAGGGAAATTACTTAATGTTTTTGTTCAAGCATGAATTTTTTTATAGTTTGACTAATATCTTTCAATGCATTCATGGACAGAAAAAGTTAGTTCTTGTTAAATCTAAAAGTATGTTTTTTGTGACTTCAGTGAAAGCTTTGAATGAAATTAGGGCATCTCTTGGATGGAGAGTAGTGTATGCATGGGTTGGTGATGATCCTTGTGGAGATGGTAATTTACCCCCATGGTCTGGTGTTACATGTACCACACAGGGTGATTTTAGTGTAGTTACTGAACTCTAAGTATTGCCTCTCCGTTTCTGAATAGTCATTCTCTTGCTTTTGGAGATAATATCTGCCAATCATTCTCTATTTTATGTTCGAACGACCTGTAGTATAATATATATCTATCTGATTATTGTCATTTTCAATTTTCCAATATCACTACCGCTTCTCTTCACAATTTTGTAGTTTTCAACTTGCAGGGCAGTTTATGCCGTTTCTATTGTCGGCCCATTGTAACTAATCTATTGGATCTTACTCGGCTGTAAGATGCTTCTTGGCTCTATACCAGAATTTTATTCCTGATGAGTTTTAGCAATTTCTTTTCTTAAACTATATTTTTATCTGATTCAAACAGATAAACTTGCTGTAAGTCTCCAATCTGTATGTGATTCTATGCTCTCCAGTCGTTTGTACTTGTTAATCCAATAAAACGAATTATCAAGCTGCACATTAATCATAAGGTGCTTTTGTTCTGTTCTTTTTGGGGACTTTGCATTTGCATTGTTCTGTCATTTTAATCTTTATTTGAGATTCGTAATGTTTTTTATCCTTTTATATATGGCAGGGATCTGCATAACAACAAGATGACTGGTCCACTTCCTCCTCAAATTGGCTGTTTGAAGCGGCTGAAAATATTGTACCATCTTTTCTCTAAATGTTCATGTGATGTCTCTCTAATTTGTTGCTCTTTTGCATCATAACTATGTCTAGACTCTATGCTGTGTTATTGAAATCTGGATGAACATCATACAAACTGACCACATCCATAACAATTTGGCCAAGAAATGAAAACTCAACCTGATCAAACGTAATCTTTATCAGCACGGGCGGATCTAATGCAAGGTTTACGGGTTCCCGTGAACTCAGTAACTTTTGCATAGACCATGTATTTATACTAAACAATTCATTAAAAATGTAAGAATATTTAGCTTGGAACCCACTTCTTTGATCCAATTATTATGTATATTAACTTGAGATCGTTGTAGGAACCCATAAGCTTAACATTCTAAATCCGCCTCTGTTTATCAGATACTTGCGCTTGGGGCAATGACCTCAACTACTGAAGTTTTTCTATTTGAGGCGCGTCTTTTGGTGGTCAAAATCAACTGTAGTCTGTAATTGAGGAGACATATAATTGTTAACCTGAAAAGTAAAAATATTTTTTCTTCTATTATCAAGTAACTACGAAGTCTCACTTTTTCTCTTATAGAACATTGTGGTCTACTTGCCGCTGTCATTCAACCACCTATAGGGGTTAATCATTTGAAGGATGGGAAGGAAAGGAAATTAATGTATAACAATGGCATTACCATTTTAAGGCTCATTTGGTTTGCATTATCCAAATTATTGTATTGTATTTAGATAAATGATTATTAGGTAATTAATTAACATGATCAATGCTTTTGGAGTAATTGTTATTTATTAGCATAGAGATTTTGACTAACGAATGTGATTCTTGCCCTGTGCTCTCTTTTTTTTTTTTTGGGTTGATATTGTTGGGTTAGTGAAACTATTTGGAGCCTTGTACTTTCCAAGTGTATATTGCTATTCATGTTGATTACATCCTGTTCTTGAATTTTCTCTTCCAGAAATATAAGGTGGAATAAGCTGCAAGATGTCATTCCTCCTGAAATTGGTGAACTAAAGCAGCTAACACATCTGTGAGTACTTCAATACCTTTTCAGTCTACTATCTATGTCCTGATCTGTTTAGGGTCATAATTAATAATTGATCCCTTCGATCTTATTCAGCTACCTGAGTTTTAATAATATTAAAGGCGAAGTCCCCAAGGAGCTTGCTAGTCTCCCAGAGCTGCGTTATCTCTATCTGCATGAAAATCATTTTGCTGGACGAATTCCACCTGAGTTGGGCACCTTGCAGTATCTTCGGCACCTGTAAGATACTGTCTTCTATCTTTCTTTTTTCCTTTTAATTAAGCAACTCAATCTGTCTCCTACATGGTCGACAGTGTGATCTGATGCAATTCGAGGGATGTTGGTAACAGTTGTTAGGTTGGGACTATTCGGGAACTCATACGCGTGAAGGATGCTTTCCTGCCCTTCGTAACCTCTAAGTTGATTACCAAGTCTCAACTCGTGACGTATCTTGCTTCTAACTTGATGGAATATGTGCTAATATAAGGACTTCTCATCTTACCACTTTAACTTGCAGTTACTTAAATAATAATTATTTTAGTGGCATTCCAGCACAGCTTGCAAATTTGACGAACTTGGAGATCTTGTAAGTTCTATGTTTTGGTCTTCAAGTTAAGTGTATATTTCTGGATAATAACCACTATCTTTATTCAGTACTTACAAATATTTTCATGCTTAAGCTTTCAACTAGTGTCAACTTTGATATCTCTGGTTGTTACAGATACCTATCCTACAACAAGATGACTGGAGTTATACCGGCTAGCATTGCTCATATTCCCAAGTTAACTTACTTTTAAGTCTTTCTCTCTGTAGTTTTATCTACTACTTAACTCTTTTGGTTATGAGGTTATAACAGTTTCTTTCATGTATGTCATCAAGGATCTTTCTTGAATTCATTCTAAAGGAGATGAAGATTTTTTAGTGTAAGAACGCTTTGGCATACTTATTATTTTTTGATAAGGAGCTAGCTGGCCGACCTTATGTGTCTGAAAAGTTACATCCCCTCTATCCCCTAAAACCCTCTTAATATATGAAGACTTAAATCTCTTTCCATCCCCAAAACTACAAGTTACCTTTTGGACAACCGGACAGTCCTACGAAATGTGAACGATCTGTATTTTAGCTTAACCCAAATATATTTGGGAAATAAGCTCGACATTTATAGTACTTGTTTCTTTCTAACTGATGGTGGTAGGCCTGCCATGAAATGGGCTCGTGTTGTTAGTCTATGAACAGATATTCCTTCTAGTACTTAAAAGCTCACTATGTAGAAGTCCATACTTAACTAGACCAAATCAAAGTTACTAAATTTTGCTCCTTCTCCATTTGAAGTGGTTATAGATCATCTCTTTATTTTTCATAACTGTATAATAGATCTTTTCCTTGCAAACATCTTTCAGCATACATGTGGTTTTGATTCTTGAATCGCTGTATCTGTTTTCAGGTATCTTGATCACAATCAGTTTTCTGGGAGGATCCCTGATACCTTCTACAAACACCCTTCTTGAAAGAAATGTAATTAAGTGATAACTATAAGCAATTAAACTTTGTGGGCACCATGTAGATACTGATATTAAATTATGTTACAGGTACATTGAAGGAAATGCGTTTCGGCCTGGTGTAAATCCAATTGGCTTGCACAAAGTTCTTGAACTTTCAGATTCAGACTTTCTGTTTTAGAGCGCTATACCAATTATTTAGTCATGATCAGCCTAGAGTAATTACCTCATTGAAAGAAACATAGCAATCCTTTTGTCCCTATTCTTTAGTTGCCAGCTGAGTGTAGGTTATATTTTTCTGTGCAAATAAGCATAGTCCAAACTTGTGGTTGGTTTAGCTTATAGTGCCACCTGCAATCAGCTTTCTTTCTCGCTTATTTAGTTATTAGGGTTGGTCTCAATTTCGCACGGGTCTCTCGTTTCATTGACCTACTCGCAATGTCACGCTGATAGGACTGAACATATTGCAGAACGGACCTTAAGTTTTGTGCTCCCTAGCAACAGGAAGCACAAAAACTTCCTGTTGACTTGTATTTATGAATCACATTATGTAATGCATTATGTAATCTTTCTTTGACTTGTATTTATGAATCACATTATGTAATGCAATGTGACAGGAATTTGCTTTTTTCAGGTGTTTTTCATTTTCTGATGGATCATAGGAAACTTTAGGCACGCAACAGGCAGCAGACTCTAAGGTAATGGGCAGAGGTTGGGCCAAGCTGAAGCATTATTATAACTTGTGCTTCATCTTATAATAAGCAGTGAACATAGAAATGAATGTACTGTCATATGGCCTAATACCAGCATCCTTCATCTCACTAAATGATATTAGAGGGCCTTTTCAAATTCCCATTCATATCAAATCCATAAAAGCATTCCACCAGATGAGACATCTTGTGGCATCATAGAACAGTTTCTCTGCTACTCTAAATTAAAATCTTGTAGGAATGATTTAAATTATTACCGAATTAAAATCTGAATCGTTTTCTTACCAAAGCTAGTTGGATACTTAAATTAGTATTACAAAAGTTTTTACTTGAAACAACAACAACAATAACACCTCAGTTCGAAATAAATTGGGGTAGGCGATATGAATCCTTTCTTTTTAATTCAACTCATTACCAAAATAAAATTAAAGTGCAAGTAAAAAAATATAAATATATATAGTAATTAATAATGATAGAGGTTCTCTACTAAGAGCCCGTTTGGACATAATAATTTTTTCACTTTTTTCGAAAAATTTTCACTTTTTTTCAAAATCAATGTTTGGCTATAAAAATTCAAATTTCATTTGAAGATGGATTTTGGAATTTTTCGAAAATTTGAAAAACTCCAAAAAGCTGTTTTTCAAAATTTTCACTTAGATCACTCACAAAACTTCAAAAAAACCAAAAATTATATTCATGTCCAAGCACAACTCTAATTTTCAAATACCATTTTCACTTTGAAAAAAAAATCATTTTTTTTCGGAATTTTAGAATTTTTATGTCCAAACGCCCACTAAGTCTAAACTTAAGATTCCAAGGAATTGTAGGTCTTTCAAGGCAACTTCCTTCCATGTGATTTAAGGTCAACCATGTGATAGTTTCATACTTAAGATCGGTGCATCTGTAGATCAACGCAGGATATGACTAAACCATCTATTTTTTAATCTTATCTGATATTAATTAGCGATTACGTTCCTAAAACTTGTCGCTTAATTATGGTTAGAATGCTTATTAGATTATTTTTATCTAGACGCTTAAGATGTAAATAGTACTTGAGGAAATGGACAGAAGCCAAAATCCGTTCACATGTTAGATACCGCAATTAAAATTTTACTTAATTGTAGCACTAGCACCCAAAAATCACCATAACTTTAGATTTTACGTTATAAACTGCAAACATGATAATATTCTCTTTTCCCGAAACCTAACTTGATTATAAATGTTGTGCACAAGTATTTCATGACAATTAACTACCTTACTAATCGCTTTTGTCCTATGTATTTTCTACAGAGCCAAACTTCTCGTTTCATCATTATTATATTAGGTCATGATTTAGTACATTTTGTGGTATTTTTTAATTTTGATTGTTATTCATCATCGTATCAAACTTTAAAGTGGAAAAAGCTTTCTAGTATGATAAAATTAATTAAAACTTATCTGCACCAAGTGTTTACATCAAATCATATTTTTTTACCATAGTTAAGTACTTTAATAAGATGAAAATATACAATAATTAACTATGGTTAAATAAAAAAAAGTATACAATCAATCAAACACGTATTATACATCTATCAACACTCAAGTCTTTACTTTGACTTTGGTATCTCAATAGTATATCATAAGTTGTGTTTGTCTTAAATCCTGCTGAATCTTTAAATCGTCTTCTATATATAACCTATTTGAATAACATAAAGTACGAATTTCAGACTACAAACTACGTATAAATTAATTTTCCTAGTTAAAGTAAACAGCTTAATTTAGTAGTCAACAAGGGGTTAGTTTAACTATATTGGTAACTGTTTGTAAAAAAAAAAAGAGCTGAAATTAGTAACCTAAAAATAAAATAAATTATTAGTACAACAAGTTAAAGTATATTAATAATTAAAAAAAAAACTTAATTGTGTGTATATAAGTTAATCCTACAATTGAATCCTACCAAATCTTGAACTCTTCTTCTATATTATCCCATTTTTAGCAAACGAATTTTGAATAAAAGAGGATAATTACTGGATAACTTTTTTTTTTTTTTGAATAGAATCCTAGTTGAAATAGTGCGCTCATTTGTAGCAGTAGCCAACAAGGATTTAAAATCCTTAGCTATTATATCTCTATATAAACTTTCCAAGCTATTATAATTTTCTATATCCTTCTTCTTTTTCTCTCATTTTTTCCTTTCACGTATTTCATTAATTGTTCATTAAACAATGGATTCAAGAACTAGGTTGTTTTGTTTGGTTCTTTTAGTGTCGTCTTGTTTTTGTTTGTCTAATTCAGATGAATTAAAGGTGATAGTAAAAGGAGTGACATCTATAGCTAAAACAGATGATAATTTCATATGTGCAACTTTAGATTGGTGGCCAGAAAACAAGTGTGATTATAATCAATGTCCATGGGGAAAAGCTGGTATCCTTAATCTGGTAATTTTTCTATTTTGATATTTCCAAGTTTTGTAGTTTTATATTTCTTGAAAAGAAGAAGGAAATTAAAGGAGATTTTATTGACTGATTTTGACCAAAAAAACATGCAGGACTTGAAAAACAAGATTCTTACAAACGCCGTTAAAGGTTGGTTTTATAGTTCATTGCTTTCTCTAGATCTATTCCATTGTGTTGTAGACTTTGCATAGTGTTTTATATTTGCATACTTAATATTCCAAAACTTGCAACTCGTGTTTAAAAAAATAAAAATAAAAAGTACAGCCCGATGCATCCCGTATATATGCAAAGTTCGAGAAAGGGACACACTCCATAGGAGGTTTAATGTAGGCATGCAGTCTAACCTAATGCATGCATGTGTGGCTGATTCCATGGCTTGAACCTGTGACTTATAGATTATATGGAGACAACTTTATTGTTGCTCCAAGACTCTCGTTCTAACTCGTGTTATCCACAAGAAAAGAAAAGCTGACATTGCTTTTATTTGTACGACTTTAGATTCACTGTAGTCTTAGATTCAAACTCACTTAAAAGCAAAATTGTGATAATAGACTGACACGACTCGCACAAATACCGCTATGTACACCAATGTACAATGTTATTATAGAATGTGAGAACAAAATAGAAAAGAGTTTTGAGAATATAATAGAAACAGAAAACAGCTAGAGAATATCATGCAAACAAAAAAACATTTTGCTTGAAAATAGAGTTTAATTATGGGAACTTGTTTTTTCCTGTTGATGTTCTCATGGTTTTCGTGACCCAATTTTGTTTTTATTCTAAACGTCTATATATTTCTCTCTTCTTATTTTGAACCCAAAAAAAGACGTTAACTAAAATTTGCAGCTTTTTTTTTTTGTTTAGATTATTTTGATTATTTTTGAAAAATTTGCAGCATTCAATCCACTAAGAATCAGAATAGGAGGTTCACTACAAGATCAGGTTTACTACAAAGTTGGAAAATTCCCAAAGCAATGCTCAAACTTAGAGAAAAAATCAGATGGCCTCTTTGGATTTGCTGAAGGATGTCTCCACATGAATAGATGGGATGAATTGCATGATTTATTTAACAAAACAGGGTATGATCATCATTTCTTCTCCTTTAATTGCTTTCCTCTTAAATTTTATTAATTAATATTCTACATTTTATTTTACCTTTTATATATAAATGTACATGGTCACGAGTGAGACACTCAATGTAGATGGATCTTAATTACTCGTAGAACAAAAAGAAGGTCGATTCATGGATTAATTATGCAGAGATTATAATACAAAAATATTATGTGCGGAATAATATAATAGGTGTTATTATGTGTGCGTTGAGCCGTTGACACTTTAAGAGTTTTTTGTCTTTAGTTATTCTTATCCATGTATTGTTGATACTCCTATATAAAATAATAATTAATAGCATTATCAATAGCAGAGTTTAATAAGACCAACCAAGCGTTTCTCAAAAATAAGAAAATGTTATAGGTGATTTTTTTTCCCTGTATAACCAACCAAAGATGATATTTTGTGTGGTGGTGTTTGAATAGACACATAGTTCAAGAAAGAAAAAAATTAGAACTCGTGGTTTAAATATGCCACTAAAAACATGTCATCAAAAGTAAAATGAAAAATATAAAGTTAAATTTTTTATGAAAATTAAGTTGTGCGGTTCTTTTGGAACATACCACTAAGAAAATAGTGCCAAATAAAATAGAATAGAGGGAGTATTACTTATGCGAAATTTTATGCTGAAATTATTTTTTGTTATTTATGTTGACATTCATCATCTTTGTGAATTTATGCAGGGCTGCATTAACATTTTCATTGAATGCCTTACTTGGAAGGATACAATCAGATGAAGATGATACTCTTTGGGAAGGAGATTGGAATCAGTTTAATGCAAAATCATTAATGAAATACACTATTAGAAAAGGATACAAGATTGACTCATATGAATTAGGTAAAAATACAAACTGTAATACTAAGCCAATGAATTATATTTTCTTGTTTATAAAAGTATTTAACATAAATCTTTTGTAGGTAATGAGCTTTGTGCAGGAGGGGTTGCTGCAAAAATAAGGCCTCAACAATATGGCAAAGATGTCAAGAAATTAAAGAAACTTATAACACATATGTACCCTGACCCTGCTACTAGACCAAAAATCTTGGCCCCTGGTGGATTTTATGATGAAGAATGGTTCAAAGTCTTCCTTCAAACTACCGGTCCAGACGTCATAGACGGATTGACACATCATATTTACAATCTTGGAGCAGGTATATAACGACATTCTTGCATCCAGAGGCTGATCCAGGATTTAAACTTGATGTATTCAGCCTTTATCTTCCTACTACTGAACTTGTCACAATTATCTCACATATATAATTCTATGCTCCGTGTAAAAAATGTTGTATTGTCTTCTTGATTTCCCCCTCTAGTTTGAGTTTGAGTTGTTTTGGACTAAGAATTTTGTTATACTGCAGGTGTTGATCCAACTTTGATTGACAAACTTCAGGATCCAATTTACCTTAGTCAAGTAGCTCAAACATTTAATGATGTTTTAAATACTGCTAAATTGTTTTCACCATCTTCTGGACCTTGGGTTGGTGAATCTGGTGGAGCATATAATAGTGGTGGCAAAACCACTTCACATACCTTCGTCAACGGCTTCTGGTAACTCTTCATAGCAAGTCTGATATAATAAAGTAGTAATAACTTTTTCGCCTTCATTGGCTAGAATGTCTTAAGTTAGTCTTGGTGTTGCAGGTATTTGGATCAACTCGGAATGACATCAACTTTCAACCATAAGGTATACTGCAGACAATCCTTAATTGGTGGAAACTATGGTCTTCTCAACACTACAAGTTTCATCCCAAATCCAGATTACTATGGGTATTTAACGCTATTCTCATGATCTCATATTGCCTTTTTCTCAATAGTCTAGCTGTTTTACAAGGTTTTTTTCTGATAACTTTTTGCAGTGCTCTTTTGTGGCATAAGCTGATGGGAAAGAATGTGCTTTCTACTACTCATGAGGGCTCTCCTTACTTGCGAACCTATGCTCATTGCTCAAAGTCAAGTGTAAGATACTACATTATCAAGAATAGTATGATCTTATTAAGTGTAACATGATTCTAAAGATGTCTGAATAATCTTTGTTTTTGTCTCTCAGGGTGTTACAGTTCTACTGATTAACATGGACAAGTCGACAACATTTGAAGTATCTGTGGTAGATGACTTGAACATGTATCCTAGTAGGATTGAGCCTATACATCAAAGGGAAGAGTACCATTTGACACCAAAAGATGGCAACATCCAAAGTGATGTTTTGTTGCTAAATGGCACTCCATTGAAGCTCACTGCCTCATTCGACATCCCAGAAATGAATCCTCAGCTCGTTGATCCAACGTTGCCTATCTCCGTTGCTCCACGTTCTATCGTCTTTGCCACCTTGAGAGGGTTCCAAGCTCCTGCTTGTGCATAGATAATTTACAAAATAATTTAGTTTTAAATTAGGATAAAGGCACTAGATCCTTTTCATCAAAATGTTTAGAGAAGTTTCAGATCAAACTTAATACTTTGTTTTATTTTTCTAGTAAGTTGCTTTATATTACATTCTCAGTTTTGTTTTCTTTCTTTCTTCTATGGGATTCTGATAAAGGAAATTGCATCTATATAAAAGGAATCTGAATCACTTCAACAAAAAGCAAACCATTTAACAGAAGAAAAGAATGCTTGATATCTTTGTTTTCAAGATCCAAAACCAAGACTTGCATGCAAAGATATCTTCTTTAATAAGTACATGCAAAGATATCAAAAAGCAGAACACAGCTTTTATCAAACTGAAAAAGAAAGCTTCCTTTTTTCTTCTGTGCTTCTCCTTCAAATTTCACTGTTATCAAATCTTTGAGATATCAAAATAAGGTCTTCAGTACAAAGAAAGAATGGATATGCTTAAGCAAATGAGGTAACGTAACACGTCAACTTCAAATTCTAGCATAAAGATATAGCTTTTTCGCGTTACAATTAATATACTGTTCTAGGGTGAGATTCTCCGGTATAGGAGAAGAAGAGAAAGGAGGCAGCAGCTCAAGAGATAGAACAATACCGCCACAGAAAACTCAACCTTTTAAAGGTAGTAACTTAGACTCAAAATCTCAATCTTAGGAAAACAAGAACATTGTAATAGTGAAACTTCAGAATAATACTAAAAGTTTGGTTTGTGTTTTTGGCAGAGACAAAAAGAGCACCTAGCTGGTTGCACAGACAGTTTATAAGAACAATGAGTCGCGATTATGATTCTAGCGATAGTGTTGACTATCCAGCTGCAGTGGCTGCAGCTGCATTTGCTGTAAAATCAATCGAAGACAAGGGCGAAAAAGACCACAGAAGGACAAATAGTGGAGGAGCTGATAAACCTTTTACCAAGATCAAAACTAAATCAGATGATACTATCCCTAAGAAACCTGAAAAGTTCCCAGGTAGGAAGAAATCTTGCAAAATTTCCATCTTTTTTCCTTGTATAATGGTGGTGTACGGGCCCCTACTTGTACGAACCTCTAATACTTCATCGTAAACCTGTTACCTCCCACCAACACGGTTATTGAGTAATTCTACCCGCCAAAACTTAGGCAAAAGGCAACCCAGTGCACTAAGCTCTCGCTATGCGCGGGGTCCCGGGAAGGGTTTATTGTACGCATCCTTACCCTACATTTTTGTAAGAGGCTGTTTCCACGACTCGAACCCGTGACCTCCTAGTCACACGGCAGCAACTTTACCAGTTAGGCCAAAACTTAGGCAGATGCGAAGAAATCACCTAATATTTTTATCTCGGTAGGAATCTGATGAGTGGTCTCACATGGTTATATTTCTAAGTCTTTTTATTTCAACTTTGTAACATACTAACTTTCTTCTTAACATTGAATTGTATCAGATGAAGTTTCAAAGCCAAGACCAAAACTTCCTGATAAAAGTGTACCAATAAGGACAGCAACAACCAATCCAGAGCCAGTTAACACTGTGCCATCTATTAAGAAGAAACCAACTTTTGGAGATACCAAACCTGAAAGTGAAGTTACTGAAAAGGCCAAAAGAGTTCCATCTATTAAAAAGACACCAACTTTTGGAGATAGCAAACATGAAAGTGAAGTATCTGAAAAGGCCAAAAGAGTTCCATCAATGAAGAAAACTTCAACATTTCCAGACCAAAGCATTGATATCAAACCTCCCAAAGCTCCTGAGGTTCCTGTTTCCGACGCTGCTGTTCGGCCAACTAGACTATCTTCATCTCAAACAGGCATGGCTAAAGGGACAAATACAATGAAGCCTGTAAGTGGAAATTCTAAGGCAGATATTTGGGAGAAAGAAGAGATGGAGAAGATCATAGAAAGGTATTTTGTTAAACTGATGCCTTATAATTGACATCACACTAAAAACTTTCATTTTAGCCGAGGGTCTATCGGAAACAACTTCTATGCCCTTCCAGGGTAGGGGTAAGGCTACATACATCTTACTGCTCCCAGACCCTATTCGCAGGAATTTACTGGGTTTTTGTTTTGTTGTTGTTGTTGTTGTACACTAAAAACTTTCATTCATACCCTTTTCACTAAAAGAGTTCTTGCATGAAACTAGTCTTCCAAAATCATGAGGGCAAAAACATCATTATAAGGCATGCCCCATGCAGTATTATTTATTCTGCGGCTAAAAAAAGGGCAGCCCGGTACACAAAGCATCTCGCGTTCACGCTGGGTCCGGGAAAGGGCCGCATTCCAAGGGGATGTAATGTAGCCAACCTATTTGAGCAGATCAAATAGGTCAAATCAGTAAACAGATCATGACCAAACCCGTCCGAAGTTTGGTTGGGTCAAGTAACGGTTCATTATCCAATCCGTCTAACACGATTCAACTTTCCCTCCTTCATTATTTTTGCTTTTTGGAAAAAAGAAGTGAAAGCTACTTTATTTTCGTAAATTATTAGCTTAAGTTCTTCCAAATTTACAGAATTTTCAATCCCCAAATTTGATTTTGTATGTTTCGGTTTACATTGCATTTTGACCTGTCGGTTTAAACTACTTTGACCAATTTTTACCCAATAATTTGATGGTTTATTCCCGGGTTCAACCTGTTGAGTCAAGTCAACAAGCGAGTCATGACCCAATCCATTTAAACCTAGACGAGTTGACTAGGTTATTAGGAAATGAGTTGATTTTGCCACCTCTAGCTGCAACATAAACATAGTCAAGGAGTTCACTACAATACTGCTCCCTAACCTCAAAATAGGAAATGGGTTGGTTTTGGTTGTTCTATTATATATGACCTGAAGGGGAGCTTTGGCGTAATTGGTAAAGTTGTTGTCATGTGACCAGGAGATCACGGGTTCGAGCCGTGGAAACAGCTTCTTGCAGAAATGCAGGGTAAGACTGCGTACAATAGACCTTGTGGTCCGGCCCTTCCCCAGACCCCGCATAGCGGAGCTTAGTGCACTGGTCAGCCCTTCTTTTTTATATATTATGTATGACCTACTTCATTAGCCTTTTACTAAGAAGAGAAGTTTCAGGTACAAGAAGCTCATAACAGAAATTGTGGAATGGGAGACTAAGAAGAAGAAAAAGGCAAAGAGAAATTTGGAGAGAATTGAGGTAGACTCCATCTTAAATTTTTATTATAGTTGAATCTGCTGGAATTCATTTATTTACCAACAGACTGAATGAAATTACAGGCTGAAATATTGTCAAATAAAAACAGAATGAAATTACAGGCCGAATTAGACAGGCGTAGGGCGAAAGCCATGCGACATTTCAACAATGAAGTTGGAAGGATTGAGAGCATTGCAGGAGGAGCCAAAGAACAAGCAGATCAAAATCGCGAAAACGAAGAGCTTAAGGTTAAAGAGAAGGCAAATAAGATCAGATCAACTGGGAAAATGCCAGCAACATGTTTATGCTTTTAAATACTATCCTTCAAAATAAAGCTGTAAAAACGTTAAAGATAGCTCTTCTATAGTGAAAAACATGTATATATATACTGAGGCACAACACTCGCCGTATATAAGCTTTCATAAGATCATCGCAAGTCAATACTGTTATACATCAACAACAAAAAACCCCATAGTCTCCCACAAATGGGATCTGGAGAGGGTAAGATGTACGCAGCCTTACCCCTACCCCTGTTATAGTAGAAAAAATTGAATGTGAAAGGATCAGGCTGTGAACCGCGATATCATAAATCCAATAACAACAGAAGATTCAAACTTTCAAGGAAAATTAACATTAACTTCCACGAAAAACCAACAAATATTTACACCATCTCTTGATATGAAAACTAAGATCGAACTGATGAGACATTGTTTACTAGTGTAAGCAGTACTTTGTATTACAGACTCGGAACTCTAAGAAACAATTCTCAAACAAATTGAACCAGCTACACTTCAAGCAGTAATCTCTCTCACCAACCAATCCAGAGCAGGATAAGCGAAGTATAATACTAGCAAAGATGGAAGTCCAAAGAGAATTGTGATCAGCAGGTATAGAAGTAGGATGCCCACACTGGAAGGTATAACGAATATAACAACCAGAAGAAGCACAATAACCAATGGAAACTTGGATGTCACCCGGAAAAAGAAATCAAGGGACTTCTGAAGAGAAAACTGGGACCTTTGCATTGTGGTGATACCACTTGTATTGCTAGTTCTAGGACCAGTAGCGCTAGACGCGGAAGAGCCTAGACGATGAGTCCGCCTGCAGTTCGTGACAGAAGTCTGGATCCCCGTAACTGAAGTTTGATCCCTGTAAATGGCAGATGGCGACGTCACCCTGTCACCATTTCTGCTCTCCACCATCCAAAGGAGGAAGAAGTTCTTGCTTGGAAACTTGAGATTTCCCTGGTAAAACAATCGAAGTGTCAACAAATTACACCATGGGCAGGAAATGAACAACGGAATCTGGACTTGTTGAGTGGATATCTTCACAGAAGCCGGTTTAAGTCCCAACAGACAATTCTTGCAAAGAGAGTGGCCACACCATAATACATAGGGAACATTCTCGACAATGTTAAAAGATTCCCAACATATTGGGCATTCTAGTCCTTCCTCAGTGCTGTCATTTGAACAGACATCATCATCATCATCTGAGTATTCATGACAAGTTCTACTGGGCGCAGCAGAATCCTTCTTCTGACCGAAGCTTGTAATGGCATTTGAAATGGATTTCCACATAGCACAATGCAACAAGTGCTATAAGGATCTGATAGGCAGAACCTATTCAATGTAAAGCACCTCTTTTGGAGCTCCTTTGAACCTGAAATATAGAGTAAAAAAGAGCTGCAGCATTTATCAGCCATCTCTAAGCAAACAATTATGGAGAAAGAGAAGAGCTGATGTTTACAGGCCTCATAAAATGCAATCACAACCCTCTCAAATATCTTTAACAGCAAAAACGAATAGCTCCAATTTAGTGTTCCTGCTGCCCATCATTACGTATCAGCAAAAAGGAAAAAAGTACATATTCTCTAAGCCGCTATAAAAACAAATTAGCTCCCCATCCAAAAAAGAAAATCTGATTGGACCTTGTTTTCCCTCTAAGTGGTGAAAACTATAACCAAGGTCAAACTAATTCCTCCAAATGAACCCTTTCAATGGTATGAGCAGATGGGCTATTGACTGCTATATCGAACAGAAAAAGGGACTTTTACATGGAAGCCGCACCTTTGATGTTAGTTGTAAATCACTCTTATATATGCTGATAAAAAGAATGCAATTACAAGACAGAAGAGAAACCTTGACAGAAGGAGCTATTGTTTGTGGTCTCCACCAATATCTTGAAGAACAATACTGATATGAGAGAGTTGCATCAGAGTTTTCCGACATACCACCAAATATTGAGGCATGCAAATAGAAGTCTATGTACGAAATAACAAAAGTATCATGACTGCTTCTAGGCATAGCTCACGCCTGTGCAGCACAAGAGCTCACCTAACTCTATGTCAACTTACAACACCAAGAGGGCTATGGAATCGCCTATTTGGTTTTCGTGTTTCCTTATCATTTCAATGCCCAATAATTTGTTTTTCAAGACAAATTAGGGATTCTCTAAAGCTATTGTCTAATCTCACCATTGTCCTTATAGAAAAATCTCTAACCAAACTGAAAAAGCTCTTCGGAAACACCAAGACTCGAATATAAGTTTAACAAGAACAACTAAATCTTAGTCTCAACTACTTGGTATCACCTATATGGATCCTTTGCTTCCAGTGTGTTCTCTTTTTAGCCAAATCTAGGTGAATTCCGAGAGATTCTAAGTCTTCGAAACAACTCTCTTCCATGAGATATTAAGTCTATCTTGCCCTCTTTTTTTGTGTGTGCATAAGATTAGGTAATCTTTTCTTATCACAAAGAAATCTCTGAGGGTCAGTTGGTGCATGGTTTGAAACTCAGCAGATGATGGGCCCACCCCTCTACCTTTCTGCTTATATACCAAGTTTTTGTAAGTCTAGCTTGTCTTTTTGTAATAGCTTCATGCGTCATATCAAACATATTCCCCAGTGCATTTGAAAGCCAAAATAGGAACAAGCCATTTTAGGCAATCTTTTCTATGTTATCATCTAGGTGTACTACTCCCACACTAGGTTGCGATATTTCAATTCTTGTTTAATTTTAAATGACTTCACAGCCATCTTAACATTCAAATCTTTACAACAATCATCCTGTGGATATTTTGGTGCGTCACTCCTATAAAAGATCATTGTCTCACAATTTTTTTTATAGAACTTGCCTTTCATTTCGTAGGTATCTTCTTAGTTTTTATCGCATAACACTCCTATAGCAAGCCTCCATTCAGTCACCCTATTTTAATTCCACATATTAGGTCTTCATCTAAGAAATGAGTGCCATCATGCTTTAAAGCTTTTACCTTATAATTTGTAATCATAACTCACATTCTAATTTCACAATTGTTGCAATATATTATGGAAATCTGTCAGATATGCATACATCAATCTACCCCCTCTGTTGGTAGTTAGACTAATTCCTTCATTACAAAATTATTCTCTGAGAACAGATAATGCTCAAAAGGAGATATCTTAATATTCTTAACAAGTAGTACAAGACTCAGCCCTTGGTTACTCCTTCAACCATTCCAGTCTCGAAATAAACACTCTTAGAGACGAAATGACGACCTTAATTGCTAAATCTCATTTTATTACAGCAAGACAATGTCTTAATCCCATGTTAGTCGGAGTCGACTTTATGAATCCTCACAACTATGTAAACTCCATTCAGACCTGTATCAGTGCAATATGTAAAAGTGTAGATTCTCTAGCACTAGAGATTCTCTACATTTTCTCCAGGCATACAAATCTCTAACAAGACTATAGCCTATATCTATCTTTTCTTCCATTGCACACTTTTCGTGCTAAATCTTCATGTATTTCAAGAGATTGTTGGTTTTTCTAGACAACTTCCTAATATCTCATCCCCTTTAACACATCCATCACCATTGTTTCACACCTATAAACTGGAGCAGTGAGAGGTCGATGTAGGACATGACTAGATCATGTCAACCGACCTTCTCTTATTTTTACTCTTTATATGCTATTAGCATATTCTTTAGAACGTGATCATTGCTAATCTTGTCTAATTTTGTACTAATGCACATTAATGTTGCAAATAATCACAGCTCTGGGATCTGAACCCATGCCCTCTTGGACCAGAGCTTAAATCCGACACCTTAGACCAATCTACTTCATTTTACACTTTCAAAAAGTTAAGTAATCCAATGACAAGAACTGAGCCAAACATTCATTAACAAATGCATACCAATGCAGATTCATCAGCAAATTTTCAAAATCCAAACTTTCTTTCAACTCTTTCTTCTCAAACTAAAATTACATACACAAACAAGATTCAAAAAATAACAACAACAACAACAACAACATACCTAGTATAGTCCTGTAAGTGGGGTCTGGGAAGGGTAGAGTGTACGCATATCTTACCCCTATCTTTAAGAAGGCATAGAGTTTGTTTCCGATTGACCTCGACTCACGAAAGATAAAAGGGAAACAAGATTCAAAAAACAAGAAGCTAAAACCCAAAAAGGGTTAGAGCTAGAATTTGAATTCCACAATATTTGGCAGATCAATAGCATTGAACCAATCACAAAATACCCACAATAATTCAAACCAAGAAATGGATTTATCTCACATGTAACAATAATTTCAAGGCATAATAAACCCACAAATCTCATAAAAATCCAATCTTGAAATTTAGTCACCATCAAAACAAGATAAAAAAGAATAAAAATTTGTAGAATCAGAATAAGAATCAAAGATTCAAGAAACAGTGATGTGATTCATGAGATAGGGAAATGAACTTACTTGAATTAAATGGGTGATTACAAAATTGCCAAAGAATTATATACAGAAAGAGAAAAAAGAGAGAGAGAGAGAGAGAGAGAGACCAAAAGAGAGAAAATGGGAATTTTTGTGTAAGGTCTCTCTCTTCTTTTGTTTCTCTCTGTACGTTTTCGGAGGAATCTGTGTGAGGAGATTTTACGTAGGACTATACTGTAGATACGAGGCAGCCAAGTGGAAATATTTGATCTTCTGTTTTCTTTTCATATATTGTAATTTAAAACTTTTTTTNAATTCTTTGCTAATATTAATATGTACTTTGACTGATTAACTTCATTAAATGTAAGCACATGCGAAGAATTTTCCATAAAGGTTGTTCTTTTTGTTTATTTTTATTTCTGGTTCTTTCTTTTTTTTGTTTATTTGGTATCCAATTTCAGTATATTTTATTGTTTATTTCTCCTTTATAAATTTATTTGTAGGATTACATATTGTTGTTGTTGAGAAGAATTATAAAACCGTCACAGATTTCTTCTTTCGCTTTTTTATGTTTATTATAATACTGTCACAAATTATTTTTTTCGCTTTTTATGTATGGCAAAAAAATAAAATCACAAACATTATCAGTAGTTTCTTCAAGTGCTAGTCAAAGCACATATTATCATATTATATCAACAGCCACTTTTGGGCCAGCTTAGCCCAATGAATGGTATCAACGTTCA